TGAATTTTTTTTGGGTTTTGAGTGTTTGCCGGCAACTTTCTTTTGTCAATTTATAGGTTTTAAGTGATGCTCTTTCCGATAGAATAGTTGAAATCTGCATTCTTTAAGTTCCCTATAAAGGGAACTTGTTCCGAAAAAGAATTAGAATTCATGTCGTCTTTAGAAAAAACTTCATTTTTCAACGACAGAGGACACCAAAAACCTTGACATGCGACTGTTATATCACAGTAAAAAATAGCATTCAGAGGGCTGCTTCCATACTGATGGCGAGCAAACGTTAGACAAATAAAAGAAAGTATAATTCAAAAAGATCCGTTCAGTAGAAAAAAACTTATTGCATTTTTACTTCTCGGATATCAACGGTACAATACCCGCGCAAATCGAACGTGTAACATCAGGCTCAGTTATGGTGCCGATAGTCAAAGTTTCTTGATCAAATCCTAAGGAGGTTTCTGAGATGGATCTCGAAGTTAACCGAAAAAGCCACTGTAGCAGTTATCGAATCTTTATGAAACTACAAACGGAGGAAAGTTCGCAAGTGCCAAATCACTTTTTGCATAAAATACATCGAATACTGTGCGCCAGATGGTGCCGAATCTAGGTCTTCGTTGGGAACCAATTCAACGATTAAATTTCTACGGTCCAGAAATCTTTTTATAAAATCACTTTCTGAACGTATCAGTTCGTACTTAGAGAAATCCCAATTAAATAATCCCAGTAAATGTAGAAACATCAGGAATAGCAATAGGAACCGTCAGAAAAAAATCAGATTTTCCTGGAACATCGATCGGCAAATGTACAATATAAAATTGATCATATTACTTGTATTCAACATAGAAGTCGCAACTATTCTTGATGACTTAATATGATCTTCAACTGTTATGTGACACGTTCAGTTTATTTCTATATCAATTTCTTCTGTCAGTGAAAATGATAATGGACAGAAAGTGTGTAGAACATAAAAGTATTTTACATCAGCTAAACATTGAATAAAATTATTCTCAGTAATCTTTTATTGATCTCTAATTGATTTATAAATGATAATGATAAAAATTGAACAAATTTCACCAGTAACTTTATATTCTTCTGTATCAGTTTTTACATCACTCTAGCAAACCACGAACAGAAGTCATATTTTCAACTAAAGGTGCTAATAATCGGCTACGGATAAATGATTAGAATTTAATAAAAGTGGAATTTCTTTTTTTCTTTCAAATCAAATCAAAAATTTAGATTATTATATCTCCAAATTATCTTAAATTAAAACAAGATACAGGATCGTTCTGATCTGCTAAAATAAAATAAGTTCTTTTATTGTTATGTGATTACAAACTGAGCCACTTTCATTTTTCTTACGTTCTTCGAGGGTATTACTGGAAGACGCGAACACTTCTAAATTAAAATCTGAGTTAGCCAATCGATAGAGCTCGTCGAGCTGAGTGTAGCAAGTCCTAACGAACACTCAAAGAAGTTTTTATAGTTTCACTTTTTAAGCATACATTTTCAATGAACATCCACGAGCACCTAAATAACACTGAAAAGAGTGTACCAGATTCATCTCCAGGTTGTTCTGAGCCTACCGGCACCATTTTCAACTCAAAAATGGTGAAAATGGTTGAGAAATGGTTGAAAATGGGGCCAGTAGGCTCAGAACAACCTGGAGATGAATTTGGTACACTCTTTTTAGTGTTCTTATCCTTTCTTTTCGATGTTCGTGGGTTTTCGTTAGGACTTGCTATACTCAGCTCGACGAGCTCTATCGATTGGCTAACTCAAATTTTAATTTAGGGGTGTTCCTGGATGTTCGTAGGTGTTCGCGTCTTCCAGTATGATCCAGTGGGTCGTAAACGAACGACGCAAGCAAAACATTCATTTTTTTTATTATACTAAACTACTCGTTTTTAACAATCTTATTTGTATGAATTAGTATTTGGTATACCGATACCGTTGCACACCTGATTAATACGAACAAAGAAACCGAAGACGAAACTGATGATTGACTGAACATTGTCAGATTGGCTAATGACATTTATGAATGATACAGAGAAGAACAGATTATTTGAGCCATTTTGGAAAATAAAAACAAAACGTGATCAGCGAAGTGTCGCGTTAGGTGGACAAGCCGTTGACCGCACTTAAAATAGTACGAGAGTCCATCATACTACATGTTAGGCTTTACCTAACTTGTTCGAATCTTGACGGGTATGTATAAATGATTTATTGCCAAAGCAAAAAGCACATCCTCTACCACAGTATATGCCTTATATAGGCGAGAAAGAAGATTTTCCGTGATAACCGGGTGCTTTCCACGAAACTAATTTGTTGATTCTATATCGTGGATCAGCCCGATTCAGATCATAACGAGCATTAGCCTGTGGTTGTTGAATCTGGATGTGTATTCTAGCCGCTTGGTTGTAAGCGTTGATGCATTTGACCATGCGTGCCAAATAATCATTGGGTCAATTAAATGTGAATGCTGTTCATGGGTGATCAAGAGGTAACACCAGCAGTCGAACAAACAACAACTGAAACGGAGAGTATCCAGTACTGCGGTGTTAACCCATATTGTAGGCATAGATTAGCGCTGACAAATAGTCATTTCAGTTGTTTAAGTTTTCATCGTATAACTTTGATAATCGCGGATGAACTGTTACATTGAAGTGCTCTACGAGACCATTTATTATTGGATGATATGGCGTTGATTTGATGTCACTCGTTCCCGATAACATGGTAATATGGTTCATTAACTCGTTGTTGAAGTGGACTGATGGTGGTAACCGCATACCGCATTCACATTTAATTGACCCAATGGTTATTCGGCACGCATAGTTATAGCCTCGATTTTAATATCAATCGACTGAGGACGTCAAGATGTATCTTTAAAAATATTTAGTCAAGTATTTACTAATCCACTTTGACCTAATCCATGGGACTCTGGAGAAAAAAGCATTTTTGAAAATCACCTGAACCAAACTGCGTCCGAAGAAAGCATTTTTTGGATGCAAAAGTTGTTAAGGATCAGATTCTCTGGTATACGAAAGAATGATTTGTCAAAATTCGTTAAATTAGATCTTTAAATTAAAAAATACGGCTTTTAAGATTAAAAAATTTGGAAAATTTAATTAAAAAAGTCAGTTTAACGAATTTTTTGAAAAATTCTTCTCTCATATACCAGTGAATCGGATTCTAAACAACTTCTGTATTCACAGTTTTTCTTGAAAGGCTTTCCTGGAGCGAAATTTGGTTCAAGGTGTTTTCAGAAATCCATTCCCATCATTTTCTATAATTTGGGGCACTAACGAGGAAACCTCCCGATGTGATAAATCGCTTTTTGATGGAAATCTAGTGGGTTATAGATTATCGACCATGCTAATTCCGAATATGACCATGGAGGTTCTCCATAGTCCTTCGAAGATCCGATCTTCTGGGAACCTAGTTTTTCAAAAGCAAAAAATGAGCAAAAAATGTAAATACTTCTCACTTGTTTGAAATTTATGGGAAAATACAGCATTTCCGGTACATTATCACTCGAGACAAAAATAGTAAACGTTTTGAGAATTTTACCATGCACGTAATCTAGGCATTGACGAATATTATCAAAAAATTTTACAAACGTAATATTTCTATAATTCAGAAATGAATTCAATTGACTTAAATGTTGACACCGTGGTTGTTCGACGTAAATGACGACATCATCGTTCGTTTCGTAGTCGGTATTAGACAGCATTTACTCAGTTTCGAGTCATATCTGAAAATAAAAAAGAATCCACGTTTAGTAAATCCATTCAATTCATGAATTTGATCTATTTTACTATGCTGCCTATCACGGTGAAAAAATTTAAGATTTTATCTATTTTTTATTTAATGTGAGAAAATTCATATATGAAAAAGCACTCAATCAAAGAGTATGCATAATTAATTTATAATGAGTATTTCAAATTTTGATCGAGTATTGTAGCCCATTTGAGTGCTTCTTGATATTTGTCTCTGGACAATTCATGCTGAGCCAAACGCATGTATACATCAGCTTCGTGAGTATAATAATCGATAACATCATTTGTTAGCTGATAAAATAGATTATTTTCGTTCTCAAAAACACCTCGAATTTTTCCACTATTATCTAAAAAGCTGTTTACACAGAAAAGATATATAGCGTATATTTGTGGAAAATATTTGGCAAGATTCGAAATTGTTTCTGGTAAATCATTTCCACATCTAATTATTAGAAAATTTTTCGTTGCATTCAGTTGTAAATATTCTAAACAACGGTTTTCACTGCTGGTAGAAAACAATATGGTGCCCGTTGCTAATTCAAATTTTTCTTTAATAATTAACGCTTGGTCAGCAGCATCCGTTTGAAATAAAAGAAATAACAACTGTCCCATTGTGGTACACTGCGGTGGTTTGTATTCTAAAATGCTAACATTAATAAAGCGAATACGATTTACTTCTGACAAGAATGAGTATATTGTCGCATCAAGTACTGCTAAAGGAAGAAACGTTTTTCTAATATTTACAAAACGGTTGCTTCGTCGCTGATGTCTGATAGTTTTATGATGAACTGGAGTGTCAACACAAAACAAGAGGATAGACTCAAAGCACTGAAATCATTTGGAAAAGTAAGGCATGCAATCGGAATGATGGGAAATCTCTGACAGATGTATCAAAAAATGTCAAATGTGTGGAATTGAAAATAAGGTGGATTCATACCTAATGGCTGAACAGCATGATTCATCCATGTTGCGTATATTTTTTGACCTATGTTATGCTTTTCGTTTGCTAAATCAATTTCACCCTGCCTATCGAGGAACTCTGCCTTTTCTTGATATTCAGTCGCTAGCTGCCCTACCAATTCCGATAAAAAATCGTTTACAGAAGTAAATCTCGACACTACTTTCGACTTCGACTCTGTTGAATATGTGTCACTTTTGTCGTCGAGTACATAAATATGATCAATTGTATCGACATATTGTATAATCGACAAAAAAATAAAGAAACTGTTGGCTTCGTATGAATATTGTTATTTTCATGTTTGTATTTGAATTTACATATTCTTCGAGCTCTTTAACAGTGTCGATTTGAACGATTAAATGTTCAGTGTATTTTTTAATTTTTCGATTATAGAATTAAACTCATAAGAATGAAAGCCAGCTATTACAAATCGTCTATAATGAACTCTATTCAAACTAGTAGTAGCACTCAGAACTACTTCACTTGATTCCCCAGTTTCTTGTTGCGTACACAGATGTTCCAATTCCTTGTTGTAATGATACTACTCACATATTCTCTAGATGTGGAACGGTGCCAGATGACATTTACTTTGAGTAAAAATATTGATGAGGGCATGAGAAGGAACCCGTTAAGAAACAACCCCATGATCACACAAGAAATGAGGAGTCCGTATGTGGATTTCTTCTTCCTGTGGGAAATCTGAGTATATTGATGTGTCTATGCAGCCGACGTCCATTCCCTGAATAATAAGTAAGGTATTCTCAAATGTTTCAGTCAGCTGACGGTTTTTACTTACCGAAGTAAATGCATTCCAGGACCTACATTCTCCAATCGACTCCCGATAAGATTCAATCATGTTTGGATTCATCGTTGCGCCTCGATAGATTTCTACGGACTAATGTTTCGCATGTTCTAGCCAAGATCGCATTAAAAGGTAGCAAAATGGGGCGAGGGTGTCTACTTTGGAAACATCATTTTCTCTCAGTGTTTTGTTCAGTAGTTTGTATAGAAAGCATTCTTTTGTATATAGCTTAATGCAACGCCCATAAATTTCTTTTGGGTCCTTAGGTTGCACGGTTTTCAATTGTCGAGCAATCCATTGTGATTCATAATGTTGGCCTAGTTGATTCCCTTCGATAATTATTCCATCCGCTGCCTGTTTCACTATTTCAGCATCAGACAGCTCTTTAGCTTTCATTCTCCACTGTTCAATAAAATTGAGGACTTCTTCACCAAAGCCGCTGTTGAACGGTTTATTCAGTGGTTGTGGAAGAGAAAATCTTTGTTCCCTTAAGCCTTTCTTTTCATAATATTGAGCAAAACGCGCTTTATTGGTCGCTGCTTATTAATGTCGTGTTTACTGATTTGAATGGAATCGCTTAGATTGATCCAATAATTATCCAATTCAACTAGTTTTTTAGTTTTGTTTCTTTCATTGAAGGCTTGTTCAATAATTTCTGATTCAATATCGGAATACTTTATCCATTCTTCTTTTTCATGCACCATCCATGGATCGGAATTCGATTTCCAATACCATACGGCTTCTAGTTGCTGAACTTGTTTCATCGTTTGACTTGCCATTGACTAGAGTTCCAAGTTTGCAAGAACTTATTACTAAATATGTTTGGACAACTATAAAAGATATCCGAAAAGTAACAAAAATCTCGTGTAATTGAAGAAATACTTGCTCTACTTTTAAGAGTATCTCTGAGTGATTATGTTTACGCCTTATTTCCAGTCTGAATTCCGTTTCTTAATGCCTAGAGAGAACGTGATATTAGTTGATTTGAGCAGATGCTCAGGTATCACAGATAAATCTGTTGCTGATTTTTCAGTCGCATCTTTATTATTTAAGTAGGAGCAATATGTTACTTAAATTAAACATCGTTATAAAAGTATTCTACATAGGCTATATAAAGCTTTTGTTTTTTGCAATGTTCATTGTGCATGTTACACATTTAATGCTTAGTTAATTGATGACAGAAATTTTTTATTCTCTTTTGAACTATTAACCTCTTCGTACCTGACTTATAAAGCAATGAGGCAATAATTAACTCGTATATCAGCTACGCTTCAGGCAGCTTGGACCAAGGAAGTACATCTAACGAAGTACTACAAATAGATATTTGTACTTTTCTACAAGTATAAATTGATTCAGTTCATTCCTGTATCAAGTTTATTTATCCACCCCATAGAGAAATTTTATCGACTTTTCATGCGTGAGGAACCGTGAAATGTCAGCTTAAACTCTCATTTTTTTAAAATTTTGAAATTTTGTAGGTAAAGAGAAAAAGTTTCGCGACGTCGGGGTCATGCAGTTGCACCATCTAGGTATGCAGCGGTTACGGTTTGGTAACCGTATATAACCGGTCGAACGATTAACCGTAACGGTAAATAACCGCTTTATAACAACTTAGTGTATACCTGGTTTTTAGTTCTTTGATATCGATTTACATTAGAAGTAGACAAGGATGGTCTTTGTCCTGACATTATAGTGCATTTGCTGTACTGATAGTCTACACTATGTTGCACAAAAACAGCTGTTAACTGGCGGCATCGGTGTATATCTCATCACCCACTGTTTGTCAGAGTAATTTGGCTTTTTTAACCAAAATCTTTCGCCTTTCATCATGAATCTCAGCATTTTATTTAATGAATTTGAGTAACATACAAGTTTGAAGTGCATCCATGTCACTATAGCATTAGGCCTAAAACGTCAGGACAAAGACCATCCTTGTCTACTTTTAATGTAAACCGATATCAAAGAACTAAGAACCAAGTATACACTAAGTTGTTATAAAGAGGTTATTTACGGTTACGGCTAACGATTAATAATCGTAACACACGTGGCCACTGGTGAAAAAATTGTGTTCCGCTTAGTACACTTTCCTCATATAGTATAGTGTATCCCATCCTCATCGATGTTACCTCATCTAATTTTTCCCACGCGTGTGTTCATTAGAACATAGTTAAATCTGACGGTTTTTGTTTTCTATATATTTTCTGGAAATGAGAATCGAGTAATACCTCAAATACCTCGAATTACAAATCGAAGTTACTATCGCTGAGCCAACTTAACTTCAGAGAGTATAGGAGAAATTGTGTACTTGTACTTGCTGGTCAATCTTCACGATATTTCAAACGCGAAAAAGTTTTCACACATGGGCGCAGGTAAAACGTAAGAATTTTGTTTACTTTTTAGGAAATATATGCATAATAATTATCAATTTTGTCTCTCTCTTATTCAATTCTTTTGTTTATGCAGAATTTATTTTATTATTTGATTTTACTATTTCGGAGTTTTCCTGAGTGATATTTTAACGAAAAGTGCCAGTATTGGATCATATTACATGAAGAAATGAAATTATTCGTTTTTCTCTTCTTCTGTGTTTTTTCTTTCCTATTATGTAAAACTTAGCCTGCAAACCCAGGCGAACACCTATTGTAAGTTAACGCAACTATAAACGCGTTAGTTCACACATCTAATGTGTTTTAGTAGCCACTGAACGCATTAGCTAAACTAAAACGTGTCGAAATGTGGCAAAATTTAACGCAGAATAACGCGTTTGTGCAACCGTAACGCTTAGAAGCGAGTTTGGTTTTAACACGTTTAGCAGGACGACTTTTCAATCAATTGACGCGTTTGGAAGCGTTAACTTTTATTGCGTTTAAACGCGTTAGAAACGAGCGCATCGAACCGCGTTGCAGGCATGAGCTGATGCGTTTTCCTTCGTTGAAGGATTGTGAACGCGTTCGGATGCGTTAGAAAATGACGCATTTCAACCCACTACCAATTAACGCTTTTTGGAGCAATGTTTTTTCAACCTCTGACGCAGCTGAACGCGTTAGATCGTAATGCAGATAAACGCGTTTCGAGATTGTGACTGTGAAACACATTATCGATGTAAACAAACGCGTTAAACTGCATTAAAATTCAAGTAGTTTTAGTAAACACGAATAGCAACACGTTTCTTCTCAAAAAGGACGGGGTGCAATAAGAACGAGGATCGACCCCATTTCAGATCTTCTCGAAAGGTATCTAGAATAAAAGAGCATATAATTTTGTGGGGTTCTACATTGTCTACCTAGCGACTTCCAAAGTTCTTTCAGAAGCTTTTCAACCATATCATTAGATAGCCTCTTCAAATCTCCACAAAATGAGATGTTGACCACGTTTCTACGATCTCGAACGACCGAGTTACAGGCTGTTTAACATTAAGAATATAACCTAATTTGCTGTAATGCCGAAGTTTCCACCTGCACCGCATTTTTTCTGGCATTGTGGCACATCATCGTAGAAACGTGGTCAACATCTCATTTTGTGGAGATTTGAAGGGGCTATCTAATGATATGGTTGAAAAACTTCTGAAAGAAATTTGAAGGTCACTAGGTTTCCTAGAAAACCGAGTTTTTCAGAAATCTCTGTCTCAAGACCCCGAGGCTTAG